CCTTGTCATCAATCATTCGCGCGAGTAGTTGCTGGAGGATGGCATTCCGGTCGTTGTCCGTCAAGTTCTTCTTGGCGCGCATTTCGTTTGTCGATCTTGACCCGCTGAGTTTTACGGATAAAGCTGTCTTTATCCGGATAACGCCTTTTTGGTTAAAATTGTCCAAGTTGTATGGGTTTAAGTATTGAGGCTTTCACTTGCTGTATCTTTTGTGATTGGGTTCAGTTTGGTACGAAGCAATGCCATTGGTGAACTGTAGAGTCTACTAATCACGTTCATGTTTTCAGAATGGAATAATTCGACCATCTTCACCGTCATTTCCCAAATATTCTGTTTGGGGCAAGTATTTCCGGACAGAGGTGGTACTTCCTTGGAGTGTCCAAGGGCCGAATTATCCCGCGTCTACGCGAAGTCGCCATCGACTATCGCGAGTTGGATCAAGAAGTTTGAGCAAAATGGGACCGTGGAGAAGTCAATGCCGATTGTGCCCGGCCACACAAAGTTCACGCCACTTATGCGAGAATGGATCTTAAAGCTCTATGAAGATCAACCGCTACTCTATCTCCATGAGGCACAAGCAATGTTTATCCAAGAGTTCTCAAAATCGAAAAGCCCGAAAACAATTTGGAAGACCCTCCATGATGGAGGCCTCACATGGAAGACGTTGGAGAGGCGTGCCATTCAAATCAGCTACAACGATATTCTTCGCTTCGCCAATGAAATGGCTTCTCTGTCATGGTCGCTCTCAAGTTTGGTGTTCTTGGACGAGGTCAGTTTTGATGATCGCGATATGGTGCGAAGCGATGGATACAAATTGCGAGGCCAGCGCCTTATTCACATTGGTCAATTCAACCGAAAGCCCAGGGTCTCGCTGCTATGTTTCCTTGGTATCAATGGCGTTCAGGAGACATTCTTGACTGATGGCACATTCACACGCCACAAGTTTCTCGCTTGCATTAGTCAATATGCCAAGCAGACAAGCGTTGAGCACTATCCAGGCCAGCACTCGGTGTGGATTCTTGACGGGGCAAAGATCCATTGTGATCCATCTATTTCGTACTACCTACGTTCAATGGGAATCATACCCGTCTTTCTCCCTGCTTATTGCCCATTCTACAACCCTATTGAATTGTTTTTGCCATGGTCAAGCAAGAGTTCCGACGATCTCTGGAAACGACAAGCAACGACATTCAACTAGCTGCATCCAATGCTCTTCACAAGTTCAAGGACTACTCATGCAAAAAGCTTTTCCACAAGTGTGGTTATGAGTTTGACAACAAATTTAACGCAGGAAAAGCTTTGGCTTAATAAACGAAACGTAGTCGATGGTAAATGCAACCAAGGTTGGTCAAATCATGTGGTCCTCATCAGATAGATCCTCAATCTGGTGTAGAATGTCTCGGCTTTGCTCTGTCTCTTGTATGCTCACAGCATTGCCAACATTCGAAATGAGATCTGCGTTGTTGGCTAGCACGAGCTCGATACTCTTGAGATGATTCTCAGCAATCTCGATATCAGAACCAAGATCATCGTACTTTCGTTTCAAACTTTTGACCGCTTGCGCAATGATCTTGACACTGTTGCTGATATTGTCGTTGAATGATGCAGCGATTCCAACACCACGCCGCAAGTTGGTTAATTGGACTTCTGCACTAATTGGTGCAAAGTTGAACAAGTGAATGAGGTGCGGTGGTGGTGGTTGAGTCATCATGCCTTCCTGAAGATGGGCTTCAGATGATTGAATTGCATTGGCCCACAGGTGCCAATTGATATCATGCGATTGGAAATTGGGATGGAGTTCTCGCAGGCGTCTTTTGAGATCAAATAGTGATGCTGTTGTTGCTGCTCCAGCTCTATCTCGCTCAGCAGGGGCAATCAAGTTCTTCTCAACCAGTACCCAACGTGCTTTGGATGACACAGCATTTGAATACTTGTGGATGTGAAGCCAAACTTTGCCATTTCTCCACGATCGCAATGTTGAAAGCGTTATCGAATCCAGTTCCATGGTCCGCTTGTTGGGGGGGTAGAAATAGACGAAGCGGTTGACATCGTCACGCTGTGGCGCTTCGCTTGGTGCCCACAATGGCGTATCTCCATCAAACTCAACCTCGCGTTTGAGGTGGGGAGGAACTCTGTCAATGAGTTGCATTTTGAACTCCTCCAGTGTTGACGCTGTGATTGTCATGCGGTCGCAAGAAGTACCAGAGCTGTGGCCCTTGAAGTTGCGGACATGAGGATGAAGCTGCACTGTGAAGGACTCCGCGACGGCGGGAGCATTCTCCATGCTGATGGATCTGTCCCTAAGCGGATAAGAGCGGATGTAGAGAACACGTTCGAGACGTTTTTATAAATCTGATAACAAACGTTCAATATTTTGACTTGTTTTTTGTATGCGTCAATGTTGCGTGAATCTGAGCGCGTCCATATTATTTGGGGTAAACTCCAATTTTCAAGGAAATCCGCAATACTACTTCGAAGTAATAGTATCAACACGATTGATGATGATGATGAGAACGTGTTACGCGTTAACTATTTTTGAGACTAGTTTTCGCATACGTTTGGCTAACAATATCGTCGGCGGAAATCTCGTTCTGAGATCTCGAGGCCGTCTTCGTCAAGATATTTCCGTTTGGTTCCCTGTCTGCGTGGTCGA